AGACCGGGGCTTCCAACGTCGAAATCGCTCTCGTTCTTCAACTCAGTTTGAGCGAACAAAGAAAACCAGCGGAGCCAAAGAGCATACCGGGCCAAGGGCGAAGTACCGTAGGGTTGAGCGTGGTGGTAAGAAGGCTGGTGGCGGTGACGCTAAGCATGGACATCATAAAACCGGCAAAGGCACGGGCTCGAGTCCACCAACCGGAGGTTGCTTGCACTGCAAGGGTGATCACTGGCTGGTACACTGTCCGGATGCATCTGCAGACATGAAGAAAGAGCTACTGAAGAAGATGCACGACCGCCGTGATCGCAATAAGGCCCCGAAAAAGGCCGAAAGCGATGCCTGAAGGTTAAAGCGCATTAAGGATTGCCTTTTAAGACACGACAAAACAATCGTTGTTGAAGGAAGGTTGTCCATGCCCTACTGCGCTGACACCGGGGCGGAAAGGAGCATAATCAGTTTTAAAAAAATTGCAAGAACTGGAGAAGTTGGGTGGTACTGTGAGAAGGACTATACTACCTCGTTCGATTTTCTGTAAGACTGTTAGCAAGTTCCAGATTGTGACGAAACACTCTGTACTCTTGCAGGTGATGCTTTATACTGCCGCTGGACCAGTAAGACCTGTGAAGCCCTATGAAGTGCTGGTGATTGAGTTTGAAGAGGATGAATTCATTTTGGGTGAGGACATTTTGAAGGACATCGGTATCAGTATAGACAGGCAGTTAGGGCAACTGGCGGAAAGGAGTGCGATGGACGACGACGATCCAATTCCTTTTGAAGATGATTTCCCGTTTGGAGTTGTTCCGGACGATGACGTTCGGCGAGCAGTGGAGAATATGATCGCGAAGACCATCGATAATGGATTTCCGTTGGAGAAGGTGGACAGATTGCGGACGATTGTGTACATGTTCGATGTTTGGAGGTTGAAACTGGGTCCAGATCCCCCTGCTAAGGTCCTTCCACTAGAACTACGCTTACGAAAGGGAGCAAAACCTTTCCGGTGTAAGCCGAGGCAATATCCACCGCACCTTCGCAAATTCTTGCAGGTATTCAACGACGAGCTAGTTAAACTTGGTTGGGTGTATGAAAACGCATCAAGTCGGTGGGCATGCCCGGCCCTGCCTGTTAAGAAGCCAGGCAAGGATGAATACCGTCAAACCAGCGACTACTGGCCAGCCAATGCTGAAACCGAGCCAATCGCTGGCGTCATGCCTATTCTACAGGTTATTACTGAGCATGTTCGCGACATGAAGTACTCTGGATGTTTTGACTTTATAAAAGGCTTTTGGCAGTTGCCATTAGCCAAAGCATGTCAAGAAATCTTAAGCTACATGACTGGTGCAAACGTATTTACGCCAACCAGAGTTCCTCAAGGCTCTAGTGATGCAGCACTTCATTTTCAGATAACTATGGAGAAGTGTTTCATAAATTACTCCATAAGCACTTGCTTATCTGGATTGATGATCTCCTGCTTTATGCAGGCGACGTGGTTACTTATCCGGATAAATTAGAAGAGCTTTTCAGTTTGATGGATGAGTTTGGCCTGACGCTTAGTGCAGCGAAGTCAAGTCTCTTTCAGCGCTTTGTGAAGTGGTGCGGGAAGATAATTGACGGTGAAGGTGTACGACACGACCCGGAACGCATCGCTGCACTACGTGAGATGCCACTGCCCACCACCGCCGGAGAACTGCAACAATTTCTCTGTGCCTGTAACTGGATGAGAGATAGTCTGATTAACTATGCGGGTCATGTTAGAACTCTCCAGAAGCGGCTCGATGAAATTCTGAAAGGTGGAAAACGGACAAAACGAGCTGCAGCCCGGCTACCAGTGACCCTCAGCGATGCGGAAAAAGCTGCTTTCGATACTGTTTGGCCTCTGCGGCTAAGGTGGCTCACCCCAGTGCCGATGGTCAGCTTTCAGTGTTCACTGACGCCTCGGACACGGCCTGGAGCGTGATTGTGACCGACGTGCATGATTGGGAGACCGAGAAACCTGTTAATGAACAGCGTCACCAGCTCTTACACTGTCTGAGTGGGACTTTCTCGGGATCGCAAGCAAATTGGAGTGTGATCGAAAAAGAAGCATTTGCAATTGTGGCAGCTTGTGACAAGTTGCCGTACCTGCTTCTCCGACCTGTGGGATTTCGATTATACTGCGATCACAAGAATCTGATTTACGTCTTCGCCCCTGATGCTACGGTAAAAAAAACATGTTCGAGGGAAACTATTGCGGTGGGCTATGAAGCTCGGTGAGTTCAGATACGAAATCCATCACATCGCTGGCGAAGATAACGTTTGGGCTGACATGGTGTCAAGGTGGGCTCGAATGCCAACTACGACTCGTGTAAAGAGAGTGAGTACTCGCCGGCAGCAACAGAACGAGCGTTTAATACTTTGGCCACTTGATGATACCGGTTTCGTGTGGCCTACCTTAGAGGCTATTGAGAGTGCACAACGGCGGTTTGGGACGACTGCAGAACGTGCTGACCTCGATGCCGATGGCATCTGGCACAAGGATGAAAGACTATGGATACCAGTCAACGCTACTGATCTGCGTCGACACTTGTGCATCATCGCACACTGCGGCCCACAGGGACACAGAGGTCGAGACGCAATGATGGCACATATCGGCCGACTCTTCGACGTACCGCATTTCGTCAGTGTGTTGAGAGATTCTTGGCAAGCTGCCTCCTCTGCCATCACGTGAAGGGGGGGGGGGGTAGTGTCGAGGCCCTGAAGTGAAACATACCGCTGCAATGAAAGAAACCAAGCGTTGCACTGGGATTTTCTGTATTTAGGGGAAGCTTACGGTGACATGCAGTATCTATTGGTACTAAAAGATGACGCTAGTCACTACTGTGAGCTCGTGAAGTGTGCAACCCCTACAAGTACGATTGCTGCTGATGCAATCATGGACTGGCACAGTAGATTTGGGATCCCTCGCGACTGGATCTGCGACCAAGGTACACACTTCAAGAACGAAGTGATCGAGGAGCTGTGTACCAGACTAAAGTGCAAGCAGATTTTTTCGCCTACTTACAGCCCATAGATCAACGGGTCAGTGGAACGAGTGAACAGAGACATTCTTCAAGTTTTACGAGTTCTTATCCTGGACTACAAGCTCAACCATAGAGACTGGCCAAGATTAATACCTATCGGGCAAGCTAGCCTAAATCATACTGCCGTGCCGTCACTGGCAGGCAAGACGCCTGGTGAATTGTTTACCGGCTTGGAGCCCCCATCACCACTACAGGCGGTATACCTGGGACCAGAGGTGGATCTCAGTGTACAGCCAACTCGAACCTCAGCCGAGATCGAGTCGAGCCTGGATGAACTAAGAGTTAGGATTCGGGAGATGCACAAGGCAGTTATAGACACCCGTCTCAAGCAGACTTTACTGAACAAGAAAAAGGAGCGAGGTGATAACATCATCAACTTTAACGTAGGTGACTATGTACTGCGCTCTCGTGTGGACGAGAAAGGCCAGATCACACTGCTCGTTACATGTATCGGCCCCTACGCAGTTACTGCAGCTCTACCCTACAATGTGTTCAAGGTAAAGCACCTTGTATCAGGCGCGGAACTTGATGTGCACGCCTCGAGGCTCAAGGTTTTCGCCGATAAGGATTTGGAGGTGACCGAAGAGCTTTTGGAGCACGTGGCCGCTCAGGGCATCATCCTTCGTGTGCGCGAGCTACGTCGACACCGCTGGAACGACCGGAGCCGGTCCTACGAAATCCTAGTTGGGTGGCATGGACTAGAGACAATAGAGGACTCGTGGGAGCCTCTAGTGTCACTGCACAAGGACGTGAGTACGTTAGTGCAAGGATATGTTGCTACAGCCAAAGACTCAAAGCTTGAGCGCCACCTCAAAGCACTAGAAGCGCAAAAAAACCGGCGCTAAAGCTTTACATGTATACATGTATACCCCTCAGTATAACGACTATACTTCCACTGAATTGAGGTTTATCCTTGGTATTGTGGTTGTTTTGGTCATTTTCTGCTGGATTTGCATGGCAAGATAGACTTCAACTGCAATGTGTTGAAGTTGGTCACATAAAGCAGACCGCGTGATTAGTCACATGATTAGTCACATGGTTATTCATGATGAGACAGCTTATTACCGAGCGGTAATTGATCTGTAATAAAACATGTACAAGCATAATTTGTCCGAGTGGTCAGATTGGGATTGAAAGGGGACTGTAGTGGGCGGCGGCTTGAAAGTCCAACCACGACCACACTATACAGTCGAGAGTGACGAGCAAGCTGGACAACCAGCATGTGGTTGCAGTCAGCCACCAGCGTGCCAGGTTGTTGCAGCTTACAACTGCAAGTTGCAGCTCGTCATCTCAAGCTGGTGAAGGTTCTAGTTAGGGAGTCCTTGTTAGAGGCGGGGCTATCACTGGGACGCTGGTGATAGCTATGTAGAGCTTTGGATTGCATGCATGTTTCTATCTCACTTTACATTTTACCAAGACACAAGCAATACAATCGGCTACACTTTAAGGAAGTGCCAGCTTCCTCCGACCGTCTTGTATTCACTACTGCGACCTACTACAACAACAAGGTTGACCCTAATCTTTTCGCTGGGGATCCAGCATTAGGCTTCCCAATCAAAGACTCCAAACAGGCTCGCACAACCCTTCAACTTTTGGTTACGGTCCAACCGAACGAACAAGGATTCTTCAGCTCGCTATTCTCGAGAAATCAGGCGCGAATATCACCAGAGGAAGGTGTTATGGCGAAGAAGAAGGACATATGAGTTTGAGAGACGGCCTGATCGATTCGTGAAGCGACTTGAGAGACGCCCCAGCTCTCAAGTGTGTGCTCCATTTTCTATATTTTTATAACAAACAACGATCAAATACTTTAAGAAGTACTACGGTAGTATCGCTCAACGCATGTTTCCGCAACATTGAATACCAACGTAAAGGTTACAATTTGTAACTACTACTACAGTACATGTAGTAGTACTTTCCAGTACTGAAATCCGCAAAGTTTTACTTGATAAGCTGCACCTTGCAGTCTTGGCAGTACCATTTGCCTGCAGGTTGATCCGCGAGCCCCACACAGCCAAAGTGGAACCACTCGTACTTGCAGTCGTCGTTGTCACAACCAACCATCTGACCGACCGACACTCGTCGACAACTGCAATAAATAGGCTCGTTCGGGTCAATAGGCAGGTCTACCGAGGCCAGCATGACCGGATCAGCAGCTGCAACGGGCACAGCCACCGCAGTCACTGCAATAGGTCTCTTCCTCGACGAGCTGTCACCACTCGACGCCTTAACTACCGGTGTGGCCGTCTTATCCTTCATACTGCCTGCACTTGTGCTGCTCTTTGATGCGCACATTGACATTGGGCACTGTATGACTGACTTGATGCACGCTGGTGGCTGCTGCCACCTTCTGCTTCTTGCGTTGAGGTATACTGTCCTCCTGATACTCTCCATTTGCCGTTACTAGAGCCGAATAGCTCTCGAGATCTCGATCCAAGCGACGAATATGGTGGTCTACGATGTCGTAGCTTTGAGCGGCAATGGCGATCTTCTCGTCCAGCTTCTGGACGATCAGGGCATTTTTGATTGCAGCTTCTAGACCATACAGTCGGTAGCTTCACCTTTATGTATGTATCTGCATGCAAAGGCCTTCGATAGATGATAAATGGCCGCCCGTCTGGTGAAATGTAAATCCGGTCTCAATAAAGTTGCGGACTGTCCACCCTAATCTCTGGCAACTCCACAGATTATGTCTAATATTTTGAAAAGAAAGGAGTCCCTTCACCTGCATTTTATTTGACATACATCAGAAATCATCGACGTTTTGTACCCGTGCACTCTTAATATTTAGAGCTAAATTTAGAGATTGCAAATGATACCTTATGCCAAGTTTTGGGCGGGTTGGACGTCTGCAGAGCGAGCGTTTGAGAAGAATTCAGATTAAGAGATGGCGTGGGAGGCGCATACGCACCTTGTTCATAACAGGAAGCTGCCAATCTACGGTGCAGCACGGTCATTCAAGCTGAGACCAGGCATATAGGAGACAAGAAGAACCACGTGCCAGTAAGCAGGGACGCGTGAGTTCAACGGGGGGTTTTAGCTGTTGATGGTGCGATGCATGTCCAACGGGTTTTCCTCCGCGTGCATGGCACGTTGCGTATGAGAGACTGCGCGGAGTAGAAAGGTCTAGCAATGAATGCATTCTTGCTTTTGCTTTCCTGACAAACAAGTCAAATTTCTCTGACTTACTGCTTGTCCGCGAGACCATTACGCTGCAGTCTACTGCGTGAAGTACCAGGTTATCTGCTAGGTTATGAGCCCACAGGCTGGTTCGTGGACATCGTAATGAGTGAAAATAAGGCTTCTACGACGAGCGTCAATGCAAGTACGAAGAGTACGATAACTAGTGTGAATCCGACGACCGAAAAGCAAACAGCGGTAGTATCGGTGGGGCAACCTGCTGTTACGCTGGCTGATGCAAGTCGCGTTGGGGTGCCAATGGCTGGAGTAGTGGGGCAGGCTGGAGCGTCGCCAGGACTACTTGGTGTGCAGCAATCGGCAGGTCCTGTAGTACAAAGGTCAAAACCATTTGGTAGCAGCAAGCCACCGAAGTTCAGCGATACCTTCGAGGTATACCAGATGAGTTTAAAACTCTATCTTGAGCAGCGAGACTCATGGAGTGTGGTGACCGGTGAAGAAATGCGTCATGCATTTGATCCGGTGTTGCAGCGCCAATTTGATGATCGAAATCGACTGGCCATGGAGACTATAATCCGAGGCGTAAAAGGTGCTGATGCCCAAAACGTGTGCATTTGCAGCACGGCGAAGGAGATGTGGGACACATTGACTGCGGAGAAACCCAGCGATACCTCTCGTATGCAGTGCATTTGAAGCGTGAGCTGTACACTCACTCGTACGCCCCGGGCCAAAAGATGGCGGAATACATCCAAGAGATGAACATGTTGCGGCAGCGCTTGCAGCACATGGGGCCCAGCTTCGTAATTGACGATACGTCGATGTCTCAGTTGATGCTGATGGGAGTGTGTGCAGTGCATCGCGAGTTGACCCAGTTCGACTTCTCAGGAAACCCACCATCGTTGCAGCAAGTGAAGAACGCACTGCTGTCGCTCGATGAGATGGAGAAGATGGCGGCTGACACGGCCGTGAACTGTGGGGCAAGCAATGGCGGCCCGCAGGTGGCAATGCATATAAGGAAGCCTAACGGGCAGCATTATGGGCCGAATAAAGGTCCAGGCCCCGGCCCTGGTCCTCGAGGGCAGATGCAGACCACCGGTGCAGGCAAACGACGTGCCATTCGCCGCTACCATTGTAAGAAAGTTGGACACATGCGGAAAGACTGTTGGCACTACAAAAACAAGCAAAGCAAGGCCCAAGCTGGCAAAGGCAAAGCCACCGAGACGAAGAAGCCGAGCAATAGCGGTGGAGGTAATTCCTCGGGTTTGGCCAGTAAGCCAGTGGGTTCTATGGGCTTCATGCGGTTCACTGCGGATGCTGGTCGTAAGGACGACAGCAGCAGTAGTAGTAGTAGCAGTTCTGAAGGCGAACTTCCGTTTGTGGGTATGGCAATTAAAGAAGGAAGACATGAGTTTAGTGGCGATTGGCTGCTGGACTCGGGAACGTCTTCGCATGTGTGCAACCAAAAAGAACAATTCACAAGCATGAATAAATCCAAGGCTTCGTTCAAAGTATGGGACGGCGGCATCACGCGTAGTAAAAAGTGCGATAAGGTGCTGCTGAACGCATTGCACGTGCTGAGCGGTGGTGAAACCACGCTGGAACTGGATAAAGTGGTGTTTTCACCCACTGGACCTGTGAATTTGCTCAGTCTTGGACTGATGGTAAACAAAGGCTGGGAGCTGTCAACCAGTGCGCCTGGAGTGCTACCGAAGAAGCAATTTTTGACTCGAAATGGAGTCTGTGTGGAGTTCATTTATCATGGGACTCACTACTGGTTAAACAATGGTAGCTTTGGCGATAACAGTGCTGTGATTATGGCGGCTGTAAATGCGGATGCCAGTCCGTTAATGAAGTGGCACGAACGTCTGGCTCACCTGAACGAGGCAGCTTTAAAGTTCATGGTGAAGAACGACGTGGTGAGAGGCTTGGACATTCCTGCCGAGCAGTTGAAGACCAAGTTAAAGTGTCTTAGCTGCATGTCGACAAAGCGAAAACGCATGTCGTATGGGGATGTCACTGAGAAAAGAACTGTTCAAAAATTTGAGCGGTTGACCTCGGATGTATGTGATATGGGGAAGTACGGACCAGGAATTGGTGCAATGCGGTACTTCCAGCTCATTCATGATGAGGGCTCGCGATAAAAGTGGTGCTACCCGCTCGTACATAAGAGTGAAGCTTCTGGCAACACGCAACGGCTGATGACTGAGCAACTGGCTCAAGGCAAAAGGATAATAACGTTCACGAGTGACGGAGGGGGGGAATACGTAAACAGTGTGTTGACGGGGTTCCTAGAGAGCAAGGGAATTACCTTCGTCCCCACTCATCCGTATACACCGGAAGAAAACTGCTTAGTTGAAAACTAAATGGTGTTCTCGTGAACAAGATGCGTGCTGTAATGCACGCGGCCAATTTGCCGATGATATTGTGGCCAGAGGTTTTGCGCTATGTGGTGGAGGTGGACAACCTGAGCCCGACAAAAGCTTTGCAAGGGTTAACCCCGACTGAAAAGCTGTCAGGATTGAAATCTGACGTTGCGCAACTAAAAGTGTGCGGCTGTGTGGGATACATATTTGTTCCGAAGGAGACCAGGAAGAACAAGCTTTCAGCGAAGGCTGAGCCGGGACTGTTTCTTGGTTTTCCAAGGATGGGTCATGGCTACCGACTGCTTCATCTGCGAAGTGGGAAAGTGATTGAAGCCAGCGACGTCAAGTTCCGCGAGGACGTGACGGTCGAGCGCACGTACATTAATGCGCTGTTGAAGGGCCGACAGCACTATATCCGCAAATACCATTTGTTCCACTCCCAGTGGAGTACGTTGCTGACGAAGCCGTTCGGGCCGGAGCTCATGAAGCAGTGCAAAAGGCGGTTGATGAAACTGCACGGATAGATGATCAGCCGGTTGGGCAAGCTAACACCGAGCAGCATGACTTTGCAGCAGAGGCTGCAGGTTCGGTGGGAGCAGCAAGTGCATCGAATGACAGAGAGTCACAAGAGAATGATGATGTAAATGACAAAATGCCAACGGCGGATCAGCTTCGACCTTGGTCGGAACGCAATCCGGACTTCCTAGATGGATCTTAACCGCGGCGCAGCTCGAAGCGCAAGCGTGGATGGCGACGATCAGAGCGTATTCGAAAAGAGAATGTGCGGTTGAAAGACTATGTGATGGCTTCCATGGAAGCACTAGAGACTTTCGCAGGAAATCCTGCTTCTGTTGAAGAAGCTCTAGCGTCTCCACAACGTGAAAAGTGGATCAAAGCGATGGAACTCGAGATGGAGGCACACAAAGTGAATGGTACCTGGAGAATGGTCGATAGACCCAAAGGCTCGCACAATATTTTGAAAACCACGTGGGTGTTGAGAGCCAAGCTCAATGAAAAGGGGCTTGTGGACAGACTCAAGTCTCGTTTAGCAGTGAAAGGCTGCGGACAGAAGTACGGTGTTGATTACTTGGATACGTACTTTCCTGTCGTTCGAATTGAGACTGTGCGGATGTTATTGATCCTGGCATTTCTATTGGGTTATGAATGCTACCATGTTGACTTCGTTACGGCTTTCCTTAATGGTGTGCTGAAAGGAGTGAAAATATACATGGAGCAGCCCGCATACTTCAATGACGGAAGCGGTCGTGTATGTGAGTTGCTGAATGGACTCTACGGCTTAAAACAAGCTTCGCGCTTATGGTACCAGACACTGCACGAGTACTTGGAGCAAATTGGCTTCAAGCAGTGCACATTTGACGTGGGTTTGTACCAGCGGTGGCAGGACGGCCGCGCTGTGTACGTTACAGTATATGTTGATGACTTGTTGATCGCTGGATCAAAGGAGGACATTGAGCATGTAATCGGTGAGCTGAGCGAAAAGTTCGCGTTGAAGAACCTCGGTCGTGTAAAGCACTTGTTGGCTATGGCAGTTAAGTATGTGCCGGGGGAGTTGCTCTGCATCTCGCAGACAGCATACATTGACCGAGTGCTCCAACGTTTTGGTATGAGTGGGGCGCGGTCTGCGGCTTCCCCGCAGATGCAGAGCGAGAGGATGCCACCGATTAAGAAAAATCAGGACAAGACCAATGATCCAAAGTTTCCGTTCCGTGAGTTGGTGGGTGCTTTGCAGTATCTAGTGGCATGCACGCGGCCGGACTTGGCCAACGTAGTGCGTACGTTGTCTCGCTACAGCAGCTCGTACACAGAGGAGAATTACGAGTGTGCGAAGCGCGTACTGCGTTACCTACGGGTTACGCGAACCTACGGCTTGGTGTATAAACGTCAAGCGAACGTGCTGCCGCTGACAATTGATGCTTACTGCGATGCCGACCATCCCAACTATCCGGATACGAGTCGATCTATTACAGGATACATTCTGCGGTTGAACGGATGCATGTTCATGTACAAGAGCAAGCAACAAAGCAAAGTGACCACGGACACGTGCAGCTCGGAGCTGCTTGCAGCAAGTATGTGCGTGGAAGACTTGATGTGGGCTCGTAAATTGCTGAAAGAGATTCGGAGTGATAAGATGCCGTGCTCTACGCTCTACATGGACAATCAAAGCACGCTCACTGTAGTAACAGAGCCTGGGAATTACCAGCGTATGAAGAGATTTGGCAAGACAAGTCGGAAAATCGCCGAGTTCGTGGAGAAAGAGAAAATCGCGGTGCAGTATATCTCGAGCGAAGAGAACATCGCAGACATCTTCACGAAGGCGTTGGGACCACAAAGGTTCCAGGGTCTCCGCCAGAAGCTAAACGTTGAAAACGTTCAACAGGATGAGGCTCAGCATGAATGA